CTGTAAATCTTAGCACAGCAAGCTTTGTGGTAACCTTGCGTTACTACCATGGCCAAGGAGCATTTGACACTACATTTTTCTGTGGCATTACAGATTATGTAAGAAAATGTAAAATTATCTTTATTTCCATGACCTTATGGAGCCTAATTAGCTAGGTATCTACATTAGCTAGCATTGAGAGGTCTACCTTTATCTACCTCTGAATTTCAAGTATTACATTTGCCCTGTCATCATTATGAACAGCAAATACACAACTCAAGAACAGAAGCCTTGACATGTGTAGCCACAGAAACCTTTATTTATTAGACAAATATCATTTTTTAAATCAATAGATTATGCCACAGCCTAATCCTTAAAGAGACTCTAAATTGAGAGCCCCGAGATGTAGATATAAAATATTAAGGGAAATGTTAAATAGCTCGTGGCTCAGGCAGTATTTTAGGCATCTAATTCTCAAAGGATATGTGATGCAGCCCTGCACCATCTTCAAGCACATGGGTGTAACAGGGAAAAAAGCTGACAAACGTCCATTCTCAGAAACTTATTGCACAGCAGTTGCAGAGCTGTTGCCTGCAGCTACAGAGTTACTTAATTTCAAAATTCAACTGAGTTAACCAGGCAGCACAGTAACGGCAGCCAGTTTGTCATTTAAAGCATGACCAATCAAACTGACATCCAGACCATTAAGTTAAACTAAAGTCCCATTTCCTTGCAAGATATATAACCTACATTGGACCTAATGGTTTAAGGCGACAAAACCTCAAAGGTACTTTGGCGTAAAGAGCAAGAATGTTATTTATTACAGTGTGTAGGGCTGTTAAAAGCTCAGGTGCTTGTGGTTTGTTGGGTCATGCTTTTCATATTAATATTTTGCACTTTTAGAAAAAGTCAACAAATGTCCTTTTTTAATTATATCTTATCTACAAATAGGAAAAATGTATCATTCACTCCCCTGCACACTGGTGCGATCGTGTCAGTTCGGCTGTTCTCCATCAAACTCATAAATACATGATCTTCATGTTTTACCAAAACAATTGAATGTCTTTTTTCATTATTTGGGAGAGAAAATAGCAGATTTCAAAACCGAGAGAGTATAACTTCAAAGAGTTTTCTCAGTGTCTTCTGGACTGGTGCATCGACTTATCCACTTATGTTCTATGCCATCTTAACATAAACACATTCTACAACTTAAAACATCAACACTGAATTTTTTAGATTTTCAGAGTTGAGGGGATTTGCAAGATTATTTTCTCGAGGCACTTCACACATACATCTTTGGATAATAAGCCCATATGGCAAATGATTTGAATTAAAAATTACCACTAACCAAAAAGTGACCTCATAGTTTGTTGCAACGTGTCCCATGTGAACAAACCGCAAAGCTTTTTCTTTAGAATAATCACCTACTGAGAGACTCTTGGCAGATCTCAAGTATAACTTTGCACATTTTCCCCTGCTGAAGCATTAGCAGAATTCAGCCTCCATTAAAGAGCATTATCCAAACATGAGGACCAGAGCTCTCAGACATTAGCAATCACTTCACCAGCCTTACAAGAATGGCACAACATATAAAATGGCTGACATGATAGCTATCTGAGGTTAACTCAAGATCAAAATAGATGAAAATGTGTGGAAGATACAGCATCAAAGTACGTGTTGCTGTGATGTTTTCCACGCTGTCTATCGATTCACTTTTCGTAGATAAGCCAAGAGCTGTCTACAATGGCTGCATAATGAATTGGATTAAAATGCTATTCCAATTCAGAACAATGAACCATCTCTGTCATTCGTGACAAGGAGGTGAGAGCCATTCAATCAAACTTTTCCAGAGGTTTTACCAACAAATAGCAAGACTAGAGAACAGAAATCTGCACACATGCACAGAAAGGTATTCATTGTCTATAGTGTTTTGAGAGTCAGGGGGTTAGCTGGAGCAAATCCCTGTTGAAATTGGGCGAGAGGGGCGGGGTACACACTTGATAGGTTGACATCTTATCGCAGGGTTACATACAGTGACAAATAACCATTCACTCAAATTCACACCTACGGTCAATTAGAGTCTTCAGTTCACCTAACCTCAATCTGTCCATGCAGAAAGCCCACACCGGGAAAACATGCAAAGTCCACAAAGTCTTTGAACCCTCTTGCTGTGAAGTGACATCGCTCATCACTGCATCACCATGCCGCCCACTAGGAGGCAGTCAACCATAAATGTCACTACTAAATATAACATAAGGCTACAAAAACCTCACATGAAAATCCACTCACAAAACCATGCAAAGGATTAACGGTCCTGCTCTATTTTCTTTATCCATTCATCCTTATGATGTCAAATATCACTATAATGCAGATGATACACAATTGTATAATTCTAATTCACCAGAGAAGCGTCCTTTAAAACTTTGGTCTATATATTGTTACTGCCCGTGACCTGCACCTGGTTTTAAAGGTAGTTGAGTAGTAGTAAGTCTTAACCTAGCACGTTCCTACATCAGAAACTCCATTTCAATTAATGTTCTAGTGGCGACATATGTTTTACTGCTTCTCTTTTAGAAAACCTAGCAAGAAATCTAATAAAACGACTTTCTGTCTTATGGCACTAAACTGTTGAATACTCTCTCCACGATCTCAGATCAGCAAACACCCTTTAATTTAAGATATATATTTTTTAATCATGATTTTAATTTGGGGTTTTAATAATTGGTAAGTTTCTTTTACTTTGGTTGCATCTATTTTGATGTATTATATTTGTATTGTGATTTTGTTTTGTTTTATTGTTACAGTTTATTAGATTTTTGGTTTTGAAAAAAGCTTTGGGCTGCATATTTGCATGAAAGCTGTGATACCAATAGTTATTATTGAACTGTTTACCAATAAATTCCCTCTATTGGTTTGGAGTGAGTACAGAAGTGCTGAGTCTTTAAATAAATACTTAATTACAGCTCCATCAACACTGCAAAGGGTGGCAGATCTCAAAGCTCTTATTAGATAAAGTGAGCAACAGGAAAGAAGGAGTGAAAGAGAAGTCAAAACAACAAAGACTCCATTATGCAAGAGCATCAAATGACTAAAAATTAACAGAGAAAGTCTTCTGAAACTCAAGTTGGTTAGGGTACCTTCAACAAAGCTTGCTTGATTAAGGGAAGCGGCACAGTTTGGCAATAATCTTAGAGGTGGATATTAGAGACGTCTCCGACTGTGATGTTCATTGAAAACTGCTGAGAAAAGAGTATTTGAATGCCTTGATTGCTGTATATACAGTTTGTGTCTGTATTTAAAATTTTTTACAGTCCATCGAGTAAATTACAACAAGCAAATACATCAAAACTGCTCTACATGGAAAGGTCTTAGTCACATGAGGGATTTTCCTGCCTCTTGGGACATTCTTATTCTTACTTTGTAAGCCTTCTATCTTTGGAGGTCAAATTAATAGGATGAGCCAAAGAAGAGTTTTCTCACATCTTACCTCTTTATCCATGCTCTCTAGATCCTCCTTGCAAAGTGTGTATAGAGGCATAGTTTCTGACATGCTTGGCTGTCGTTTCCTACGAGACGGCCCCGGCTGCTCGTCGTCTTGGCTGGGCCCTGCTGCGTCATCCTGCTGATCCTTTGAATTTCCCCTGGGGTGATATAACACACAAAAAACACTGATTAGTCGTTTATTGGTTGTTGTTTTTTTCAAAACAGACCAAATTTTCATAAATGTTTAGTCACACAGGGTTAATTCAAATTGACGTGGAACAGTAATGAAAAAAAAACCCATCCTAAACCGAGTACAAAACTAAATTTGATTTTGATTTAAACCATCCATCATTATTTTCAGTTATTGTTTGGAGGCCAATTTTTGCCACCTAATCAACCATATTCATTTACAAATAATTTCACACATTATAAATACGGGATGATTACTTTTTATTATTTTATCTCCTGGTTTGCTTGTCCTGCTTTGAACTGTGTTCTTGTTTTAAAGCACTCTTCACAGGAATCATAAGGGAAACACACTCATTTGCAAACATTTTTCACAACATTTTGCAGATGGAGTGTGCAAGGTGAAGGACTGAATGCTGACCTAGAGACCATGAATTTCTCTTTATTACATACATTAGATGCAAATCTTATGCAAGTGGGAAGAGGATGTTTCTATACTTTGCCTTGTGCTTAATTGAACAGATCTTCTTAGATGATTTAATTAATATTAAAGTTTACGCATCTCCCTAAACCCCCACATTGCCTCTAAGCCATTAATAAAGTGGGCCGATTTCATGCTTGTGATTATTACTTACAGCGTATCATCACTGATAAAATAAATTCAAAACAATTTAAGCTGGCGTGACTGTCCAGTCAAGAGATATTAAGTTTATGCAGTGAAAAACAGTCAGGCCACAGCCACTCCGCTGTAGAGTACACTTTTCAGCAGCATTTACCATGTATTGTACAATGAAGGATGGAGTGGAAGATCACACAACTGAATTTGAAAAACTGTTTTTCTTGAATCTGGCATTTCATCTTTGGCTTATTTATATAAGTGGATGAATATGAAAACATTTTTTACGATAATAGTAAAATACATCGTATAAGTAGTGTAAGGTAGCCTGGATTTTAATGTACTATTTTAAAGACCTAATGTGCAGTTGAAAAGATGGGCCGCACAGGATTAGTCTGGCTTCCCCTGCCACCAGACAATCCATACAGTTAAGGGCTTGTTGGGGGTTTTATTGTGCCTCAGTTCAAAGATGAAGATGCTGCATGTCTCCACTGGGGATAATTGACAGAGTACAGGAAATCTACAGTAGCAGCTGTCTACGTTTACAGAGAAGGGAGGATAGAAATAAGGCCCAGAGCACAAAGCCATACATTTAAGATTTAAATTTATGTTATGTTATGTCCAAATCTGCAGTTCATATTAAAACAGAAAAGACATCAAAAGCATAACTTTCACTTCCATACATTGTGTCTATAATTCTGCACTACCCCAAAGGGTCGCAATGTCCAGAGTGAGACAGATGAGAGAGAGGGAGTTGATGGTAAGGGTTCACTCCGGGTTTTCACTGTTATAAGGCTGCTTTACTTCTAAATGGGGTAAATCACCATGGTAACTTATGCTGAGTTGCTAACCTCCTCCAGGGCAGGTTGAGTTTGAGGTAATAGCTACTGACGAATCAGATCACAGGAAAACCAGTCATTGTTCTACTGGATGCTGTTAAATACATAACAGTCAACAGCCAAGTGAAGAATAATAGAGAGCAGTAGATATTTGTATTGATCAGAGGAATTGTTTTCCTGTTGCAGTCTTTCAATGTGACCATCTATCATGATTGCCTCATTTTGATTCAACAAAGATTATCTGATTGGATAAATGTACATAAAAAGCCAACGGTTTGATGTATTTTATCAGAATAATTCTCTCATAACTCACTCAGGAATTATTTTTCATTTAGTCACCCTACAGATTGTACGTTGTACAGGCCACACAAAGTGCATATGTTGGGTCAGCTGCATTCAGACTGTTAGACTTTTAGAAGCTTATCTCTGTTTGATACACTTTCATTCACTGCTTGCTAACATTACACAAATGTGGTTAATTTCTTGCAGTACCTGAGACAAGACTGTTGGTGATCAGAGAGCAACATTGACCCTGACGCCTGGAGGTAGGGTAGTGGCTGTGACACCTGAGGGCCCCTGCGGATCAGCTTCCCCGTGACCGGGTCGTAGATCCGGACCTCTAGCTCTGGAGGTGGAGGCCTGTGGTGGATGGGAGCTGGCTGGAAAAGAGGGTTCTGCAGGATGCCCTGATTATCAGGAAAGGCTGCTGGACTGTTGCTCCTTTCACACAAAAGAGATCAGAGAGTAAGGATCATCCTCAAGCGGGATTTTGATAAATGGACTAAATATGTCATCAATATCGGCAGTATTTTTCAGTTAACATTTTTTAGGTTTGGGGAGGCTTGTAAGACCACGGCTCATTGGACAGCTCATTACCTCGGCATCTTGGAGTAGTCTTCCTTTAGTGGGTACAGCTGCTCCTCCACCCTCTCCCAGCGCTCCAGACAGCTCCACAGCCAGTCGGGATTGACAACATGGAGGTGGTTGCATCCCTGTGCCCGACGAACCTTCTCTGTGCCTGGGTGGAGTGAACGTGGGAAAACGTTTTGACCTTACAATTAAAAGCTTTTACGAAATACTCTCCCGCCGGGACTGCTGAATTATTCGGATCAATGTTTTGACTTTCTATCTTGGAAGAGAAAGGGAAAAATAATTGCCTGGTCAATATTATTAGAAAAGATAACAAGGACGATTTGTCTTTTGGAGTGATTGTTCTTTCGCTTTTCTGCCAACTCAATAGTTTACTCAGAAATCCAAGAGGCGCTTTTTTGTTTGAGTGAAATCAACAGAGGGGCGTGTTTCTGCTTGAATAACACATTGATGTTTGACACAAAGACTCCAAATTGAATCTTTGGGTGTAGAGGCTCATTAACGCCGGGTCATTTAAGCCATGAATGGCTAACAATCAAATGCTTGTTCAGATATTGACTCTCACTGTTTGGGCACATTTTGCACCCGCTCAGTATTTTGCTGTTAGTCATAAACTGGAAAACTGGACAAAGCGATGTCCACTTGGGCATTTTAATTATTTTTCTTCATCTTAGGCAGCAGAGCTAACATATGCATTACAATCAAACTGATTTTATTTTAACTATGCTGCAAAAAGAAAACAACATAATATAATTCAGTCATTCTAGCAGCTCTGTGAGAATGTACTTTAGGCACAGTCGTGCTATGAGCTAAATGCTAATTCTCACAGGCCTTAAACCATGTGAGTTTGGTCCCATCCCTTTTTTCCTAGTTTCATTTTATGACCAACTATTTCACTGAAATTGTTGCAATATTTCAGATAGGCTGCGGTATTAAATTGAGTATATACAATATATCGCTTACCCTTAACTTAAAGCAAGATCATTGTTTGTGATATTTTGCAGGTTGCATGTTTTGCAGCAAGACCTGCATGCAGTTTTAATCCGTCTCCCCAGTTGGTTGTACCAAAAACCCTAAACACACTAAAACATCTAGCAACTAGGGCTGGGCCATATGACTTCAAATCAATTTCACAATTATTTCTAACTTTAATCTCGATTATGATTAATGAACAATTATTAATGCCCCTTCCCACCCTCTGGATTATGATCTGTCTCTCTCGTTTTTCCGTCTCGTGTTTAAATACCTGTCTTATAACTCCGGAGAGAATCAAACTAACACTAAGTCAACTTCAGTACAGTTCAGATCCTAATAAATAGTGATTAGTGTTTGTTATTAACGTGTATAGGTGAGCGCAGGTCAGCGGGGGCATGAGGAGGAAGAACATAAAGCAGGGTTGTACTACATTACGTGCCGTCGCTGCAATGAACGTAGCGGAAACCCCCCAGTTTGTGAATGCACTCACTGTTAAATGTATTAACCAAATTAACCAACAATAGCAAAATCAAGTAAGTTAGAGGTTATTAATGTCAATTTCCCTAAATTTCCAGTTAATTGCCTAGCCCTACTAACAACTTTCTTGAAACAGAGAAATAGCCCATTGTTAAAACTTCATATTAATGAAAAACTTCACATGTATGGCTATGTCTTGCTTCAGGTGAGGAGGTAAATCAAGCCCCAGGGTACAGCACTGGGACTTACTGAGTGTCACAAACCTACAAAATTACTAGACTTTGATACATTTGGTAGAATACATTTTGGAAAGTGTAGAAGAGCTGTGTGATTATTTATTTACTATTTTGTCCCATTTTAGTGACTCCAAGCAACAGGGAGTCAGCTGGCCAGGCTTGTACAGTTCTCGGAAAGCATGCTCATTATCAGCTTGACTGGAGGACTGTAGTGCACATGCACTATGGATCTGAGAAATCACAAGCTTTTGTTTATCATTCAGGTAGGGTCACGTTTATTGGACCCTTGATCTGATTCTGACATAAGAAACACGATACCTGTCGGGTTCGGGTCAGGTTTGGTTAGCAAAGAATTGCAGATCAAGCTGCACTCTATCATGAATATTGGTAATTTGTTGCTTGTCTGGCAACAAACCAAGAGTTTTCTGTTGTTATTTCCATCTAAGTGACTGACTGCTTGTATTGCCATGATTCTATGGCTGGGTTTTCTCTCCTGATGCACAAGGTGAGTGATGGTCAAGTGCTGTTCTCCAGGGGGGCTGGTTCCCAGGGCAATGATGCTAAACTGGACTGGTAGCAACACAGTCGTGAATCCACTGCTTTTCAGATAGAATAGCAATTTATCTGCAGGTTAGGAGCTGCTTTAACATTTTCAGTTTAAAGTTTTAAAGAAGAGCTGTATGTTTTATTGTCTATATGTTGTGGACCATCAGAAAATGCATGCAGATCTTGGAGACATTTCTGAAGAGGAAAGCAAATGGTGATGAGTTAACTAAGGCTAAGAGTGCTGAGTAAAAAGGTGACCCATGATGGAATGGCTTCTTCAAAGCAGTACATCATTTTATAAGCTTCAAAATGACACAGGTGTACTAACAAGTTATTTTACCATTTGAGGATTAAATGCATATAAACCGAGCCTCAAGCATGAAGTGATCTGTGTTTTAGTTAATGATATTAATAACTAAGAGAAGGAGCTGCCACAAGGAACTATTTTCTAAATCACTCTTATTTAAAATATGAATGCATTTTTATCCACTGGAGCGCAGAGGTCTAGATCTACAACTGGCTGGTTGTTGACTTGCACACAATTTAGGTTATAATTCTTAAGATTGAAATGAAATAAACAATAGTGATTCTGTTATAGATTGGCTGCTTCTCTTCAATAGTCATTCATGGTATACACTGGGGCTGCAATTATATTTTTCATTCAAATAATTAGCTTTTTGTTGCTTTGACAAAGGTCTAAAACGCATCAAGTTTACTCAAGTGTAAGTGTAGCGATCTGAGAAGCTGAAAATTGTAGCTGATAATAATTCTATTAATGACCAAATAAATTAAATGACTTCCAGCTCGAGCATTCATATTCAGTAATTACCTTTCTACATTTAATTTCATTGGTAGCGGCAGAGTCCGCACAAGGGATTGACGCATGATGCATGTCCTACAGCAAAAATATTTCCCGATATATTATCAATGTCAGTGTTTAATGTTTATTTTGTTTATACTATTGCACATTCATGTAACTCCACAGCTTCCTTCCTCAGGTCATGACTAGAACCTATAAATATTGTAATTGCTCCCAATCTCCCCACCCTCACAGCTCACTCTTACTGTTGAGGAGCTTTTTCCAGCTACTGAGCTCCAATCACCAGTCGACAGGAATGGTTTCTTGGGTTTGTGACATAACAAACATGCTCAGCCAGGGGATTGACTGCTTATTTTGCTAAAACCATGTATTTTATCAAAGGGACGAGGTGGACAAGTCAACATGTTTAAAAACTAGATTTTAACGCAGTGGGTTTAAATTAGTAGTACTGCAAATGATGAGATACATTTTTGTGATGACAGTGTGCTCAATTATCTGTCTGCTCAGTCAAAAGTCTAATGCACACAAATCTGCCAATAAGTCAGCCTAAACCTTTTTATTCTAATCTAATCAGCAAATCATGACACATGTTTTCCAGCAAGCTGCTACTAAATAATACTTTGAAAAGCCACTGCAGGTAATTATGTTGTGTTTCAACTTGTTCAATTAAATATAACTACTTTGAGAATGATACTTTGGAAGTTTTAGAAAGATCCATTAATTGACAGATTTCACATTGGTACCATTTATACATACCAGCTCTAGCTGCAATGAGATGTGTTGTCCGACTGGGATCTTGGGAGTTGAGAACCAGATTCTTGCCAATTTGGGCCCCCAGGGCCTTGGCATGGTAGAACTCACGAGTTCTCTCCATGGGGTAGTTGGTCGGATACAGACCACTGAACACTATCATCGTGCCCTCCAGTGTTTTTCCTTTCAGCTCTGGGACAATCTTGCGGATGTCCGGCGTTTCGGAGATGTCCTTCCTCAGGAACGCCTCGTAGCGGCCATAGTACTCAGCATGAACCTTTTCTAGCACTTCCTCCAGGTAGATCAGGTGATCATCCTGGTCAGTATCTACTTCCTCTTCCTCCTCGTCCTCCATACTCTGGTCCAGCAGTTCCTCCCCCGTAGTGACCCCAGACTGTTCACTATTCTGGGACTCTGTTTCTGGCTCTCTCCTATCTGAGCAGCCATTCCCGAGCTCTGGGTCTGGGAGAAGAACTCCTGAAGATTCTGCTCCATCTGAACTGTTGTCTACTTCTCCCTGACCTTTACTGTCTACCTTTGCCCCTTCCCCATCACTGGGCTCTTGTGTAACACCTTCCTGTGCGGGTTTCTTTTTTGTTTGGCTAGACTTCCCTTCACTATCACTATCAGATGAGGGAGGCTTGTCTGTAATAGAGTCATTGTCACTGTCACTTGACAGGTCAAAGTCCAAGTTGTTGGACTCATGGCTGGGTGCTGATGAGTTTGCACCTTCCTGTGCCTCTTGTGTCCTCTTGCTATCATCTTCCTTTATATTTGTTCTATCTGCCTCCTGAGCTTCTCTCGACCCGGCCTCAGGCAGCGCCTCAGTCACTGACTCTTTACTTTGTCCTGATTCATCCTCCACACCCCCTGTAGGGTGAGTCCGTGCATTTGTTGGTACTCCCTGAGAAGACTGAGATGTTGTGGGCTCATCCTTTCCAGACAGATTGTGGTCCTTAGACCTTTTCCTGAGGCCATTATTATGCTCTTCTGTGCCAGGCATCCCTGCTGATTCTGTGCTCTCTGCTGGTCGACTTGAGGGACCTCCTGCAGGTACAAGACATGAAAGTGGATCAGAATCGTTTCACCTCTGGTAGGGAAACAGCATCAGTTAGCTTGGCATTTACAGTTGTAAAAACTTTAAACTTCAGTAAAAAAGGGACCTTATCGCATTTGATGTAGTTTATTTTTAAATGTTTTGTACTCTGGCCCTCTGCTCAATTTTGAATGCATTGCAATGATGGTTTCAAGTAACGCACCATGAGAGAAGCATGAGCATTAATCCATTCTGGAAGGTCCATGATAACCTTCCGAACATATGACATTAGTACCTGCCGTCAATTTACACTTTAACAATAAACACAGTGATAATCAGAAGTTATAGGACATGAAAAGCAGTGAAGTTTACATATTTAGATTATCACACAACGCAGAGTTTTTTTTTCATTGTTGCAGTAGAAGCGATTAATATTTATGTTGCTAATCCTGCAACATAAATATTAATTCAGCAGGTTTTTCTAAAGATCAGCTAAAGTGTGAGCTAAGAGGAGCAGAATCTCTTGTTGACCAGCGGAGTAATGTGCCTTGATGCTACCAAAAATAAACAATGTATAGAAATCCAAATCTTTGATACATCAATAATCATTTTATAATCGAATCGTAGCCCTCTGAATCAGAATCAAATCAAATTGTGAGGTGCCTAGATATTTGTACCCTCAGCAATGTGTGTGATATAATATTGCACATCAAAGCGTGATTTCGACGATGTTAAAATATGACCCCTCCATAATCAATAGTATATTGACTGACACTCACTAACACACCTTTGTTTGTCTTTCTACATAAGGACACTCATTGGCATAAAACATTCCATATCAATTATGGTTTAAATGAGGGATTTCATAAGTGTCTTTTAACACTCAAGGTCCATGCGTGCCCGTGCAGCATTCATTCCCAGTGTTTTAACTCCAACCTCACTCTAATCCTAACCATAAAAGAAAGTCTCAAGCTTCAAAGTGCTCACTGAAAGTGGGTCAGAAAGTGAGGACTGGCAAAATGTCCTCACTTTCCCAAAATGTCCTGACTCCGTAAGGTCTAGGTATAAATTGCTCCTCACAAAGATAATGGCGCACACACACTTTGAGTTGTCTTTGAAGACCGTGTAAAGCAATTGAAAATATCTATTCTGAGTTTTTCATGCCACAGAGCAAGTATATCAAAGTAGGGTTTATGAATTATCATGAAAAAAAATTAGCAGTACTCTGCTGCTCTCCCCGCCCAGTTGCAGGAAAGGTCCCGCCTCTGTGAAGTTCTCTATTATTGGTGAGCTCGTCCATCGATGATGACTGACAGCCAACATCGTTATGGCTGGAGATGAAGATATATCAAAAATTTATCGTCATTGCAATATCAACATGTGGGATATACGTGTCATGCATTCACGCACTGCATGTCAATATAATTAGCCAATCAGAAGGAGCCCTGCTGCCCTATTTCATAAATTAAAGATATTCATATGATCATTGTTGGAAGAAGAGAATAGAGAGCTGCCAGGCGGCTCCATTTAATATGGCTCATCCTAATTTTACTGCGGAAACTTATACACTAGTGAAACTATCACTAGGAATATTTTATATTCAATTTCTGCCAATAGATCCCTTTCACCTTAATCTTAAGCTGCTTTCAGACATGCACTGGACTCCAGTTCCTCCATATTTTCATATTATGTGTGAATGCAAATTTGCAAATGGGACGCTCGGCACTTTCCTGGATTTCTATGCACTTTAGAGTAAGAGGCCAGGTGGATAAAGTCTATAGAAATCCAGGAAAGTGCCGAGCATCCCATTTGCAAATTTGCAAGGGGGGGGGGCTTCTTCACATGCGGCTGATTCAAATATGAAAAAATCTAATAGAAAACAGCGGTGTCACACAGGTAGAAGACACAGATGAACGTTTCAAGAGGGTTTGTGGTGATAAGAGCTGACGACGGTATCGGGGTGCTGTAAACAATCTACGCAGCGAAGTTAATAAGTCACTTTCAGCCTCTGTCTGATGCACCTGGCTGCTCCACCACTCGCCTGAATAATGCGGAGGATTAGTTGCTGTTGTGTCTGTGCAGAAAACCTCCCGCTTTGTTGTGCATGTGTGAAACTTTACACACTGGACCGTTAAAGCTGCACTAATCAGTTGACAGGGAGCGCTTGCAATAATCAACCCACATCAAACCATCCCTGCAGTTTTTTTTCCCTCTACAAATTATACACCATATGTGTTATGGTTATGAGTTGAGTTACTTTCGGAGGTGCTGAGTGATCATCATCTCATAACATTTTTAAGATGTATACTTATACTGTATATTATATTCATCATATTTAAAGCTCCATGTGCTAAGTAAATAGAAGCAATAAAAAATTCATCAGCTGCCACCAAGAGCTTTGTTGATATAATAAAGCCCTTTATGTAAATGAGGGTATGTTTTTCTTCCGATTGAGATTTATAGAACATGTGTAGATAAATGTCTAGTTAAACTATTTGACTTGCAAAGCAGCAATGCCTGGGGGAAATGCCTTATAAAGAGTTTTTTTATTTGTATTGGTATAAATGTGATTTGTGCTTAAATCTGCCATGTTGCATTAAAATCAGTAGAGTTCTGTGTCTCTGGCTTATGATTTGTGATTTATACATATAGGGCTCCACACATTTAACCACGGGCAAAGTTTGTGTTTTACCCTTTGAATTTATCAACAATGTAAGAGCTATTACTGAGCCTGGCAGCTGTTGTAACATGGGGTTGGTACAACCAGGAGTTATCAGCAAATTAATGTGACAGCCTGAGAGAGTGGGTGTAAATAAGGAGAGGGTTTCTACAACAGCCCCGAAGGAGATACACTGGCCGGCTCCAAGCAGCATGTTTCCTGCTTTGATGATGAAGTGAGTAACACTGTTGTTCAGAGGATTCCCTTTGTGAGAAACCATCGCGGCGCAGAAGGAGGTACAGAGGTGAAGTATTGGAACCTCTTATGATGTTCTGTCTTTGTACTGACACGTGCCTTTGATTCACGATGATGAATTATGTTTACAGGGGTGTGGGTGCTCATTATGTGTATCCAGGGGTCTGACTGGACATGAATGCAGTGCCGATGACTATCTTGCCTGGGTGATTTTTCTAGGTAATAAATGATATGACCAAGAAAGCTTACAGAGGCCCAGTTCAGACCTGGTATTAACATCCGTCCAGAGAAATCTGATCACAAGCGTGAGCAGTGGTGTTAACACCTATGATTTAAATGCATCGGTCTCCTGTGACACTCACACTGCCCAACTTCTTCACATGCAAATAATCATGCATGTCATTTGTGTTTTATCAAAGACAGAACAATGTTGTGTTTTATCAAGTCAGAGTTTACAGATTTGGGGGTTTGCCCAGACCCCCTCAGAATGTGATCCAAGTGATCAGATCTCAGGACGCATTTGGGTGCGTTCAAACCTGCACCCGGGCCACACTGGCTGTGTCAGAGTGTGTGCGATGTGGAATGTCTCACTTTTCCTTTAAGCGCCCATTTCATCAGGTTAGAGCGGCCACACTACCTGTGTGAGAGACGTCTGAGACACGTCTGAGACAGGCAAGCAAAGCAAACAGCCCATTCCAAACAGGCAGATTGAGAATGGGTAGTGCACTAAATATACAAAAATAGAGTTTTTACATATGATATATATTCTACATAAGCAAATGAGCAGAAGAAATTTTAGATCCAGTGTCATCCATGAGGTATATATGCTCAAGTATGATTTAGAGGTAGATATAATTAATAAGGGTTTACCCTAATGCACCTCATCTGATGTCAGAGCTGGTTGTCAGTGAGATGCAGACCGTTAGCTCTGTCTCAATTTCAAAGTACATGATGTACTAAGAAAAGTTAAGTAATAACACTATGATGTTTTAAGAGCAGCTGAATATCAGTGCCTTCACTGGACTGACTTGCTTGTTCATTTTACAGGGCCATGTGCACTGTACTGGAAACAATCCCTTGGACAAAACATTGTTTGTTGCAAATTTGACCCTCTGCATAGTATAAACATGGAAATACTAGATTTTCCTACAAATGCATGTAGCTTTCAAATATGTGCGAGTACTTCACCTTTCTTGGCCATCTGAGATTCCCGTGATCCGGGGGGAGCGTTAATATCCCCTGTGCCTTGGAAGTAGATGTATTTCTTCACAGTGATGAGGTTTGGTGCAAACTTCCACACGTCCTCTCGGTCATCGATTATGCTGACCATCGAATCCCCACATGGGAAAAGGTTCCTGTCAAGAAAAAGATGGACAGGCGTTGGCTGAAAGTGCTGAGCTTTTTGACAGATGTTCACACTCATAGGAGCCATTATTTATCTCTTCGGCTGTAGTGCTGTTTTAGTGACAGCGCTTTGTTATGAATGAAAGAGTCACTCCATGTTTTCCATCAATCTTCCAGGTTTCCTTTTTAACGTGTAAACAAAACGGATGCAGGTTCACTGCATGTACTCATCTAGTTGTCATTTTTAGCAGCAGACAATTCCCACCTAAGATTCCCCGTCTTGGAGAAAGGATCGATGCATTCGTCTCTAGAAAGGATCCGATGAGAGAAAAAATTCTTTTTAGGGTCCAGAAAGCCTAAAAAAAGGAAAAATAAATAATGAATATAGGAAGAATACCAAATATGCATATTCAAATGCCATGCCATGCTATAGTCCAGGATTAGTGATTTACATGCATTGAAAACATACATGAATATGAATATTACATATATTCCTGTATAAATGAAACTGTCACACCTTTTATAATAGATTTGCATATTATTAGCATATTTCCCACTAAAACTGTTCTTAGTTATGTTACAGCTCTTGATTGTAAAGTGGCATCTTGATCACAAAGGTGCTCACTCAGTAAATTATGTGTTGGATCAACACAATGCTTAATCTGATCCACAATGAATCCAGAAATTCAGCCAATGTATTTTTATGTCAATATGTTTTCTTAAAAATGTTCTCCTAGAAAGCCTTTTTAATCTTGATTCAATCAGCTGCTCAGGACGTATTAAGTCAGTCTGAAAAGAAATAGACAGTCTCTGATTAAACCTCTAATAGAAATAGGAATCTGCCATTGCTCAACAAGGAGGTCTGAGCGAGAATTCTATAACCAATACAGATGCTGTCATTTGCTGGAATTCTGGTCTGAAACACGCCGACCTCTCTGCATCTGGGCTCGTAGTAAAATCCAATTCAAAATGCATTAAACATTCATCATATAGAGGCAGAAGAGTTCTGGACAGGCGCAGACTCAATTATATACATTATGATGAAATATTGCAGCCTGAATACCAAAAAAGAAAGATGATACAAACTCACTACCTACACTTCAGCATAATTCAGACTTCCATCACAAACTGAATTTTCATTTAGGAAGGAGACCAAAACCCATGAGCTGGCAGTCACACGCTACTGAAACTAATACATACTGGGGATGCAAAAAATATAAATTTAGGAGGTGAACAGAAAAACGATAATTGAAAAAAGGAACATGCTTGGTAAGCATTTTAATATTTAGCACCACTGGGACTTGTAACTGAATCACAGAGGAGAAGCATCAACTGTAATGAGCAGACACTTCCCTCTAGAGGACACAAATAGTCAGTACAAGTAGAAGTTTAAAGTCACAACCTAAATCTCTACTTCCTCCTAAACCTTTATACAAATAAATGTATGTGGATAAATGTATCACTGTTGGGAAATGTGAAATAAAGTGAAAAGCAATGAGACCATTACCGGCAATGGTGTGTGCATAAAGGCGACTCCCGAATGTGAAGACGTGCAACTCGTAGAGTTTGGCAATTTTCGCCAGGAACTCTATGCAATGTGGGCGTAGTCGTGTGTGGAGCATGGGCTCTCCTCGCCCAAGTTGGAAGTGGAAAATGCCCTGAAGAAAACAACCAAAACGTTAACTAGGTCACATTCCAGCACAGAGACAAGGATTTAAAACATTTAATAGAGATTCTGGATAACAACTTCAGCTAAACAATGGTGAAAGACGGAGGAAAGTAAAGACAAAAGAAACAACGTGTTGTGACTCTGCAGTTGCAGGAAAAACAGTTTGATCTCACTCAGGAGAATCACTCTGAATCCATCCACATCACATGTGACATAAACCTGTGAAGCACCATAACCAGCACAGAGCACACTATTTAAAAAGCCACTGACATTACAGCAGCATGAAAGAGAGGCTAGCTGTGACACAATTCAGGGGCTGCATCCTTCTGAGGTTGCATTTTAAGACTGATTACATCAAAGGCCCATGAAGACCTCTTTCATGGAAACGGCTATACAGCGTTCTCTCGAGGGATGCAGCCCCTGAATTGAAACACAGCTTTTTATAAGAATAATGAATACAAATTATTAAAAGGTCCCCATTTATTGCCAGTTAAACATACCTTACTCATTTCTATATACTCCAGGTTTGTCACACACTTAATGGTAGAACAAACAATAAAATATAGTTTCAGGTAAAGCAGAAAGAAACTGAAAGTGGCAGGATCTAAAGATTAACAGGGGTGACCTCTCTACTACAGCCATGAGATTATAGAATGTTAATAAGAGGAACTAATACCTTGTTGGACATACGCTGGCAGTGCTGTTCAGTGGTGTGGATCAGGGTCTGGTCCAGATCCACCATCAGGACCAGCTTTTTGCTCCGATGGAGTCTCTGCTGGTCTTCTCTGCCCAGCTGCTCTGCTTGCTGGTGCAGTGAATGAAGACAATGTACAGAATATTAGAAAATCAGTAAACCATCAAGGACTGCATTGTAAATGTAGTTGCACGCTACTGCATATGATTGTCTTTATATGGATGGATAAAGTTGTAAACTTTTCCTGAGTCAAATCTCACCCTAGTTGACAGTGAAGGAGAGCGGATATCAGACCATGTACAGGTTGTTCAGCCCTCTGATGCAAAACATTTGATTGATTGATCAGTTGATTGAAGTGAATAAGGGTCGACTGGACTTGAATTTGAATTAAAAAATAAAAGACCAATCATCCACACTGACCTTGGATATAATGAAATATTCAGCAGTCATTAGTTAACTATGTGCTCGAAATACTTTCAAAGATATATTTAGTGACTTTGAAACTTGAACTTTCTGTGGCCAATACTAGTCATACTTTACATACCTCAAAATGTACAATATCTAATGTTCATATTGCACATATCTTTTTTCTCGATACTTTAACACTGTCCCCTCTTGTTATATGTATTAAGCACAAACACCACTGCAAATTCCTAGTAAATCTACTTGGCAATAAATCCTGATTCTGATTATTAAAAGTAACATTTTGAAGATACAAGATAAAGGCACAATCCAGGTCCGTTTGTAAGATATTGCACAGGGTGGGAGCGGCGTGCTTCCAATGCGCACACACACACAGATCTTACAATGGAAGAGTTTGAAGTTCAGTCTGCTCTCCGTCTTCCAGGTATCACCATTATGACTCACCTCTGCACTGACCATCAGCTCGGGAACACTGTGCACCATGGAGACTGTTGCTGTGGAGATGGGAGTTTGTTGGTTCCCATTCGTGCCCTGCAGCCTGAAAGAGAAGAAAAGAAAGAGAAGAAGAACAAGAAGTGTGGGAGTTGTGTATTTTATGGTTTGTGCATCTCTAAGGTCCTTGAACATATTGCAGCAGAGATGAAAAGCAGCATTAACAAACAAGTATTTTTTTTTTGAATTGGTCAGACTTAGCTCTGGCAAGTGTTTTCCTGAAGACCAGTGCTGGCATTCAGTTACTTGAAACTTTGTGAATCAATATTAACAATAATCAACAGGTAAAGTAAAATACTTAAAAAATGTTTCCTTTCGTTTAATAATTCAGTTTTAAGAGTATTCCACATCCACATCAAACTATGTGCGTGCGATTTAAAGTCTGAGGTGTTGAGAGCCAAATTATATTTCAAGCAACAACACCTGGAATTCTGTTACTTTAATTCTGTTGCTTTAAATCAATGACGTCTGCTACATTTATCATGGCAGGTTTTCTTAACACCAGCTGTATATTTGACATCTTTATCAAACTTTCAACAAGGGTGTGTGCAGAGTGTGAACGCTTCATTCATGACCTCAGTTGCACTCAGCTCTCTCTGTATGATCTCTGGTGCCACCTGATGGTAATAAATAGAATCTACAAACAGAATCTACCACACACATTTTACAGTCTGTTAGTTTTGCAACCACATCTTCCTCCTCCCTCTCACTGAATGATATTGGAAGGTGTCAGGTGACCTGATGAAATCATTAACCTCTTAAATGGTGTTGTGATCAGATCAGTGCACTGTGAAAGGTCAATGTGTGAGATTAAAAATGTTTTTAGTCATGAACTCTGGAGAATGTCAACACAATGGGGTCCAGACCTTCTCTGGAGTTTGTCTTTCACACATGAACAATGCAGCAGTACATTCTCCACTCAGAAGCATTCACAACAACACAGAAGTCTCCAGAGCATTCAGGTAATGGGGTGGTGCGGCAGGCAGAGGCAGGACGTTAAGTATCAATACCGCTGCAGAAATCATAGGTTGTTTACAACATAATACCTGTGGCGGCCCTTATCACCAAAAGCTCTTGTGACTTCTTAGCCTGCGTCTTCTACATGCATGCCACACCTTTTTATCCTCAGATATTTGTACTTTTTTTGATTTGTTTTGCGTCTGTCGACTGTTAAAAACATCAACACCCCTGTTTGCTCATGGTGAATCCTGCTGTATTCTCATATAAGCTCACTATGATTTTACTGGGTGTTTACTAGGGGGCTGGCAGGAGAAACTCCAGAGAAAGTCCGCAGCCTCTCACTCGGACATTTGCTTTCTTGCATACAGCCCCTCCTGAGAGTGTCGGGAAATTATCCAGAGTTCAGAGCATTTCTGAATGCAGCTATTGTGTCAAGCAAACTTCCCTGGACTGCACAGAAAATAACTTTAACTTATTGTTTCTATTTAAAAGATCAAGAAAAGTGAGTGTATGTGTATTTCCTTACTGTGTCAGGTCCTGGCCACATTCAGCACATAAACCCTTCATCACTATCGGGTGGCTGCATTCTTCTATTCTGACAATGACACCCCTGAAAAAAAAGTAAAGAAAAGTGAGTGAAAACATTGAATGTTATTTCATTGATAGTGGATTATGATTCACAACATGTTTAATGAAATGTTTGCCTTGTGGCATCAAAGGTGTGAGTGTAAATGTAGTTTACTGAATGTTACATCTATAAACATGGCACCCTACAGGTTAGCTGTGAGTGTATACACTAATATGCTAATGAGTAACTAGAATTATTTGTTAAATAATCGATGAATTAATCAAAAAGACGTTAAATGTGGTTGTCTAAGCTTCTCAACTGTGAAATGAACACGTAACCTTAGAGTATGAAATTAAGATAAGCTTTTAGTTGAATTACTTGTTGACCATATGCAGACTAAACAACTATCTAGCAATAGATGGATCGCTGGTGAAAATAATCGCTAGTTAGTTCCAGATCTACTTATAACTACAGAGACCCAGTTTAGTCAAATAAACAGTTTTGATTAGTGACTAGAACAACAGTTTTGTTTAGTGACTAGAACAACAGTTTTGTTTAGTGACTAGAACAACAGTTTTGCCACCAATGCTGCAAACTATCTTCATAGAATTGGAAGACATGGAGTAAGTTGCATTCTAGTTTACTTTTTCAAAACACAACAAACTAATCTTCTGCCATTCATTGTAATTGATTCCCTGATGCAAACTTTTCCCATCTCCTCATGCTGTTGCAGCCAAAGATTTTAAGCAGCAACTTTCGACACATGGTCCAATTTGACATTATTACAGACGGGGCAGTTTCTGTGTCACTATATGCAGCAGGGATTTTCAAAGTCAGAAGAGGGATTTGAACGGGCACCTGAAGGCAACACGAGCCCTACAACATTACAGATGTGACAGTAAATAAATAGTGGCTGCAGATGTTCGCTGACATCAGAGGTGTGGAAACATCATTTCGATTATTTTCATTACAAAACTAGATGGACTTTTTTCAGGCAAAATGCAACAAAGCATGTAAATATGATATTTTGCTGGAGGATCAATTTGCTCATATGCTGCATATATATATATATATATACATATACATATATAAAATAAGGATATCCTTAAAGACAAACATCCTATTGCAACCTCCTCCAGTCGTCCACCTGTCAACACACAGATCGTGCATGCGAGGGACTGCTAGGTCAAGACAAACAAAACGAGACATGGGTGCACGTGGTTGTGCCCTTCAAAATAAAAGCGTACATAGTTAGCCTAATTCCAAATAAGTCGATCCCACAGCTCATTACTCGATTATTATAATTCTGCTAACGATTCGCTGGATTTCCAGTGTGACGGCAACAACTGAACAGTCCATACACACATCATTCATGAGTCCACGCTTTCATTGTGAAAGCCCACGTCGCTGGTGGGGTTGTTTACTTGTGACTCACTTGACGCTGCGAGCAAACGCTGCGTGTGTTGAGAGCAGCTAGCAAACATGCTAACGTTAACTTAGCACGGGGTTAGCTCGCTAGCTAGCTAGCCGCGGGTGAGGACAGCAGCAGCGATAACAAACACATGTTCCAAGTGAGGGGGGCAGGTCGGCTAGCATGTGGCTACAGCCAGAGGAGTGGCTCACCCGGGGGGGATGACTTGTCCAAGTTGACAGCACAGCTCCTTCACTACTCCGGCACGGTCCGATTTCACCTTCTTCTCCGGCAGCCTGGCAGCCTCCGTCGCCCTCTCCGGGGCTATGGGGGCGCACAGAGCCAGCACGGAGTCCACGTTGATGAGAGACCCGGGTTTGACCTTCCACTCCAGCAGCCGCAGCGGGAGAGCCGCGCTCGGCCAGCAGATGTCCGCCACCTGCACCGCGGGGCCCTCCGCCACCGCACTGTCGCCACCGCCGCCGCCAGAATCTGCAGGAGGGTCCTCCATCTGCCCCGACCTCTCCAGCAACAACAGTCCCTAAGGTTTGTTTTCAGCGACCGCTTAAAACGTATCCGCCAGATGCCTCGATCCTCCGGGAATCATTAAAGTGCGCAGAGCACCATTAACGCTAAGAGTTAAAAGCAGCGCGTCCACGCAGCAGCTCCCACTCTCAGCTTCGTTCGCTCTTCCCGCCCGTAAACATGAAAGCGCAACACTGCAGCGACACAGGTCACCACAGCTTCCGGTCCAGCGTGCAGCAAGCTGGAGCATCAACCCTGCACTTCCCCCTGCCTGTCAAAACACACGCTCCTTTTTCAGAAGAATCATAATAACAACAGTAGTAATCATAATGATAACGATGATGATGATCATAATAATAATTATGATTATAATGATAGCAATAATAATTATGATAATAACACGTATCGAAAGGGCTTGAGAGTTGCACTTTTTTAAATGGGATAGTTCACCAAAAAATACCACTTCACTCTCACCACTAAATGATGGAGGGGTGTGAAGTGTTTGAGCCCTCAAAACACTTGGAGTTACAGCGGTAAACAGCGTTGCAGCCAAATCCAATACTATTGATGCAAATGGTGACCGATTCTTCAGAAAATTCCTCCATACTGCTCCTGTAGGGTCATCCAGGTGTCTGGAAGCCACAACATTCATTCATTTACACTGTTTTTTACACAAACAAAGGACATTTAGGCTAAAAACACGGTGTAAGCTTCACCTGCATACTGCTTCGCCTGCATACTGCTGCTGGGGATGACACCCCAGCAGCAGTATGCAGGCATTTTCTGTTGTTTTTCTGTTATTATTTTTTATTTGAAGAAGTGGTCCCCAGTTACTTAAATTGTATCGGATTTGGCTGCACTGCTGTGTACCCCTGAGACTCCAGAAGTGTTTTGTGGACTCAAACACTTCACCCATGCCTCCATTGGAATAGTGGTGAGTAAATATTGAGTCAATGAGTAAATATTAGGTCAATGAGTAAATATTGAGTCAATTTTCAGTGTACATTAATTCAGACGAGCACAATGGTTCATATAAATGTATCAGTTTGCCTTTCGTACTAATTTTCACCTGAGATCCCTGGCACATACATGTTAAAGAAAAAAACTAAATAAACTTGCAGCTAGCACATTGCATAAAAAAACACATGCACACGAACTGACACAAGCAGAGCCAGTTTATGGGACAGACTATATGACTTACAAACAAAAGTACATAAGCACACAGACAGCACAAAAGAAATTTGGTGAATGTCATCTTAACAAGATGGAGATTAAAACTACCTCTGTTTTTGAGTTTTCGTCACAGGGTGTGACCGTGCCATGGTGTCAATTTTGAAATTATGACGTACAATCAAAGTGTCCCTGATGCCAACAGGAAATGTCTTGTTTTTTGCATGTCATATGCTTTGAATAATTCCTCATCGGCCATTGACCACAACCAGTTTTACACACTACACTCCAGACCTTACTATGTAAAGTGCTTTGAGATCATTTATGTTGCGCTGCACAAATAAAATTGAATTGCTTTTTGGATATCATCTGCATATCTTTGCATGTGTGCGATTGGATTGTATAACCTTTATTTTGAAGGTCTACCCACGTTTCCGTTTTGTTGTGCATGGCTGATCTGCTGTGGTTAGACAGGGCCTTTACCTTTCTGCATTGCCAGCTCTTGATCAACAGGCACATGTCAAACATGCTTTTAGATTTGTAACACCACGTCACATTGTGGACATTACATAACAACACAAATCCTTACAAAATACGACTGTTGAAACATCAAGCTGTACTTTACTTCTCCTTGTTTTTTTTCCATGTGCTACAACTTTCCACAAGGGCTGAGATGAGAACCATGACAACCAGAGACTTACCTGATGTAAGATGATGTAAAATAGAAATAATACACACTACTGCCTCATGTAGCACTGTGATACACTATGGATGCATGCTGTTCAAATGTAGGCAGTTGCCACGGGTGTCTTTGTTTTAAATACACAATGGCCCTCCACTTTTCAGTGAACTGAACCAGTGAAGCAAGTTTACCTTTATTGTTTGTTTCCTACATGATTGGATACTATCAATAATAAATTCCTTTTGTGTATTGAAGTTGAGGTGTTACTGAGGGGACAGTACATTGAATAACAACTACATAAATTCATATGTATTTATGTAGTTGTTATTCAACGTAACTCATTGCCTCAATCCATTCAATGCAATCAATGATACATTGTTTCAGGAGCTTCCTCCAGAGAGTGAGTCAAGATGCAGCTCTGCCCATTCTGCATGTCCACCCACTGTCACAGAAGTCCCTATGAGCACGTCCCACCCATTGACATCCTGTCACTATCTTGAAATAAATTATGCTCACACCTACCTCTGTAAGCGCAATCCAGAGTGCTGTGATCTGATCAAATAGTCTCATAAGCACTTAAGCAAATACATATAATGCAATATAGGTTGTGTTTGCTGTGTAAAATACAGTATTTTAATGTTCTCATCTTTGTATTCAAAACTAGTTTGCACCTTCTATCAGCTAAAACTATCATGAGCGTGAACTGTGAGCTTTAGTCGGTGCAACACAACAATCTGGAACAATCTGCCTGAGGAAATCAGGTCAGATGAGACATTTAAAGTATTTTAAAGTCCTTGTTAAAACACACTGTGATGTCTTTTTATAACCCTAACCCTAACCCTGATTTTACCTGGAGTTTAATTCTATTTTACTGAATCATTTCAATGAATATTGCATTTTAATGATTTCATGACCATGTTTTATTTTGTTGCCCTTGTAAAGCACTTTGGAACTTAGATTTTGATAAGTGCTCCATACATAAAGTTACTATCACTATAATTATGTATTATGATGGCACACTCCACACTCTTTATCTACACGTGTCTTGGGCAGATAAAATCAACATATCCACACCAAAAAAAAAACATTTGTCTTGCTTATAAACAAGTTTCCAAGCGAAGACGGAAGTCACACACTCGCTTCATCTTTGCCTGCTACTCTTCGGCTAGCCAATAGCAGCCATGCTAGCAGGAGGAGGAGGAGGCGCTAGTCCCTGCAGCTCTGGACCTTCACCGCCGACAGAGAGGAGGTGGTGTTACTGACTCGGCGACATGAGAGCGGAGGCTTCCAGCGTGGTGACTATAACATCTCTAACTCACTGTGCAGCTCGGTTTCACTGTAGCGTTACCTAATGTCAGCTGGGGAGAGCTAACTGCTATTAGCCTAGCACTGCTAGCTGCTCGTGTTAGCAGCACATAGTAAACGCTCGTGCTGAGGAGCGACAGACGAGTGAAGTTAGTTTGACTTTTGAGCCACATGTCACGTCTCCCCTCACAGTCAGCAGCTGTGGCTCAGAGCTGACTGTGACTCAGAGTCTCACAGAGACCAGAGCAGCTAGCTGTCCCCGCCGGGCCACTCTCTGCTCGGTGTGTTGGAGTCTCCCAGGGTTTGTTTGATATGTCGGGGCTCAGGTCCCTGACATCGCTGCTATCTGTGCATCAATTTGTCAACTGTGGAGACATTTTGTCCCTCAGATGCAGACAGGGAACTAAAACAACAAAGTGGTATCCCGGCTGATCATGTTGGCCTTGATCTATACTCTCT